CTTAATAGATGCTTTTCCCGCCAGTCACATGACATGTCATTCCCTTGACATGTCATTCCCTTATAGGTTATTTCTTTCTCCATCACTATTAATTTAAAAATGACATTATGGATACAACTGAAACAAACAATTCTCTCTTAAAAAGTTTTAAATGAGAAAACAAGGTCAGCGGATGCAACTTGAAGAAAACTTATCAAGATGGTGCTTCACGATCAAAAGAGGCTACACTTCAAAAATACCTATTTTAATAGCCTGTGCACTCTACCAAACCTGGGTTACGACCTTCTACGGACCTTACTGCCAAGGCGAGGGCTGGGTCCAGCTGCACCTAAGCTTTTGAGGTTGAGGAAGCCTGGGTCAAGTTGGCATTGCAGTGCTTTGTGGGACTGTTTGAAGGAATATTTTTTAAAGATTCGTCGATTTTGTCCCTAAACAATCCCACAATGCACAGCAGTGCCAACTAGACACAGTTTTTTTCTTCGACTTTGGGATGGCTAATACTTCAATACTACTGAGCATGGAGTGTCTGATGTCTACAGTTTCATACCTTGGTCTTTAGATGCTGGTTTGTCAGRTATGTACTGGTTGGGTCTGGAACCAGGAGACGAATAAGATCCTTGTACATGCTTCGTTGGACTATCAAAAAGGACACATTTATTAGTATCATAAAAACTCAAACAAAATGGCGGGATTTTTTTTGAATTTGGGCCTCCCCCTTCGGAAAATCCTGGCTACGCTCAAAACTACCAGCAAATCCGATAAAATGAATACAGGAAATATCTTCGCCACATTCCATCTATTGGTTCACTAGTCAGACACAAAGCATTCAACTGAGGGGCTGCATGGTCCAAATTTGAATCATCCTTTGAAACTACGTTGCAGCCTCGATTGAAAAATCTTTGTGTTTGACCAGTGAACTGATGATGGAAAGTGGTGAATATATGGAACTCATTACATTACATTACTTTGCTACCACCCCACCCCCCTTGAATTTGCACTCGCCTTTTCTCCCTGATGTGTTTGGGCACCTCAGTAGACCAAAATTAACCTCCACTGAGAAAAGTCCAGTGTATGCTTTAAAAAAAAAATTTTTTTTTGACCTTAAATCCCAAGGACCTCCATTCAAGTTCGATTCCAACTCCTCCAAACGATTTCCTAAGGTGTAAAAAGCGCAATTTTTCATCGTTTGTTGGTCAACAGACGAAAGCTTCCCATGAWTCTCTTAGCTTTCACTTTCTACTTGTGTTTTCGAGTTCCCTCACGCATTTATTTATCTATTTTAATAAAACTATTGAATTAAAAACAAGTTAATGCTTTAAGACTGGTGAAAAAATCTCAGTATGCAGTTGTATTGTTAGTAATATCATTGCAAGGCGAATTCCATTATCATTAGTTGGTTTCGATTCGATTTAGGGGCTGAAACGTTTACATTCAAACCACCTCATGCGTTCCTATCAGGGTTCAAAGATTCATTTCATTATAGGAAGTTTGATTTCCATCGTGCTTTGAAGCTTGCATTAATGAAACGAATGTTGTAAATTTCAATCCTGGTCTTTGCCTCAAAACATCAAAATGTTCATTTGTGAAAGGAATTTTTGAACAAAACTCCACACCAAACCATAGTTAATGGAGTGGAGCTCTATTAACTATGACCAAACAAATAACTTAAAATGGTATCTACAATTGTTGCAATAAATTTAGCTTTCTGTGAAGAAATACTCTTAATTCGAGCCCAGAATTCAAATTCGCAACCTTCGTTTCATTAGTGCATAAGCTTCAAAGCGGGATGGAAACCAAACTTCGAATAATGAAATCAGTGAATCTTTGAACCTTTAATAATAGGAACGCAAGAGCTGGTTTGACTATAAAGAACCCAGCATCTTGTTCTCAGGCCAATATAAGCAATATTCAAACGCCGTTCTAGCTTTATCAAGTTCACTGGGTATTTTAAAAACCCAATGTGAATAATACTTCTCTTAAACGAATTTCTGTTTTAAAAACACGCATTAAACTTCTRTTAACGCAGAGGAAATCACTAATTTACACAGCTTGTTTACTGCAGAACACGAAATACATTTATATCTTAAATAATACATTTGCCACCAGAAGTAATGTATAATATACGATGTTTTTTTCTAAATTTCTTCTTCTTGAATACATTAAGTGACCAGCACGCTGCACAAAGCAGTTTGAAAATTCAATGGAAATCAAGTACTAACATTTTTAATTACAGCTAAACGAAAGAAGTTTGGGAAAATCATTTTGTTAAAAGAATACAGTAAAGCAGAGCTCATCAGCTGCTGATATGCAAATACTTACTCGAGTCTCCGATCACCATTACTCGCTTATTGMACAGGAAGTTCGCCACTTGTTCACTGTTAAATATCTCCATCACTGCACAAGGAAGATGGGAAAATACCCGAGCTTAAGGAGCAAGCAAGACACGGCCAATTCTAGGAACAGTCTGGCGAGAAAAAGATGAGACTGGCGAAAGCGAAAGWACGAACAGTATACCTGCTATATTTATGTATGCTAATGTTTTACCAAAGGTTATCACAGGTTAAAACCGGGTGAATGATGTCATATTATGGCGCGCGGAATGGTTCAAAATTGCATTTCAATGTAATTGAATATTCGTTTGTCAATTGCGTTACTTCGCTTGAATGTGTACACTTATCAGTGCATTGCATTACACAAGCACGTTCCATATGTTKKTTTTTTTTGTCAATCAATGCTCATAAAAATAGTCCATTGCGAAAACTTCGGTCGATTTACAATAGCTCTCTAAATCACCAAAACTCTGTCAATTACAAAAACTCGGTCAATTACAAAAACTCGGTCAATTACAAAAACTCGGTCAATT